ATGGCTACGACCCTGAAAGCAAGCAGCAATCATTGCAATGGAAGAGCCCTTCTTCACCTCAGTCAAGAAAAGCTCGACAAGTCAAGAGCAACATCAAGTCCATGTTGATCTGTTTTTTTTTTTTTTATATTGACGGGATTGTTCATAAGGAGTTCGTCCCTCCTGGTCAGACAGTCAATAAAGAGTTCTATCGCGATGTTCTAAAGCATTTGAGGGAGGACATAGGAGAAAACGTCCAGAGAAGTGGCGCATGATCAACTGGGTACTCCACCATGACAATGCACGACCGCATATGGCTTACATTGTGCAGGAATTTTGGGCTAAAAACAAGATGGGAGTTGTTCGCCACCCACCGTACTCACCAGACTTAGCTCCATGCGACTTCTTTCTCTTCCCCAAGATGAAAATCAAGTTGAAAGGGCGAAGATTTGATACAGTGGAGGAAATTCAAGTGGAAACGCAGACGGTACTAAACACCCTAACAAAGAAAGACTTCCAGGATGCATTTGAAAAGTGGCAGAAACATTGGGATCGGTGTATGCCCTCCCAAGGGGACTAGTTTGAAGGTGATGGTGCAGAATAAGATCTAGGTAAGATGTACGTAATAGTTTTTATTAATATATTTTGGGAACTTTTTGATTGCACCACATATATTCCAGTGGCTTAATGTCCATGCCAGATTTCATCGAAATCTGTCTAAGAGACAGACACAATCAGCCATGTATGTATTCGTGTACTTCATGCAGAGGTCTCATAATAATTAGAATTGATGCCACATGAGAGATGGAAAGAGGAATTATCTGTGCTCTTAGTGGAAATGTGCAGTGAATGTAGTGCATTTGTGGAAATGTGCAGTGAATGTAGTGCATTTGTGGAAATGTGCAGTGAATGTAGTGCATTTGTGGAAATGTGCAGTGAATGTAGCGCATTTGTTGTGATCTTAGGCTTATAACTGAACATAACAAGTAATTGGTACTGTATGGATTATTGCTTGGGTCCTTCTTCATTTCATGTGGCAGGAAGTATATGTCATAGTAAGTAAATTGCTTGACTGCATTGCTCTGTTACAAAGATATCAACACTTCCAATTGTACAGAGTCATGTTTATTGTCACAGGCTATTGACAGAGTGTGAAGAGAATTCAAGTGTTGTAACGAACAACCCAGGGTGCTATTCCACTGTCTGTATTGAGTTGAACATTGATGGTTTGGCTGTCAACACGCTCTTACAGTCTCATCATGTCAATGATATTGAAGGTATGTGTAATATAAAGTAGCTACTGGTTGGTACATACTGTCGTGTGTATCCATGACTTAAAGACAGGGTTCAGATTGGTAATTCGATTTATTAACCTACAGGTCGTAACTACAATTAATTACTACACTGTTGCTGATTTTCACACTACAAAGAACTCCACGCTAATCTCTTCAGTCTCTCTGCATTATTCTTCAGACATTTTAAACATAGGAACTATAAAAGTCTTCAAATCACATGTTAAATCTTCACAGCCTGACTTCTTGTATTCTTCTGCAGTCCTCAAGCTTACTGCTATCCTCTTGTTGCATGCTTCTGCCGCTACTACTCACTTGTAACTTGTAAATGCTCTGAACCCTTCTGGACTCTTACTTATATAGCCACGGAGCAGACATGCATCATAGGAAACACATGTCACGTGATCACTACCTACTGTTGTGTGATGTCACTGTGAACACAGAAAACACGGCTTCCTCTCTTGTTGAATATTGGACTGTGTTTACAGAGTTGTTGCTGGCAACGCATTGATCAAATCTGCTACAATATTGTACACCTCCAGAATTCAGGGGGCCCATATGTTTTAATTTTATTACATGCAGATTCTTATTGTTGAAATTATAGCCTCTGTCTTGGGCTGGCTGTATGGAAGAAACATTATATCTTATGATAGAACCTAGCAGAGACTGTAGGAGAGCTTTTAAGCCCCTGAATATAAGTTATAGACAGATAAAATTCCATAATATTATTCCCCCACCCCTCTCTACTCTTCTGGCCTGCCTGTCCAAGGAGTTTGTCAAATTGAGGCCTTACTATAACAAGATTCTTGAGACAGAAGCTACATTTCATATCACCGATAATACTGCAAGCAGTAGCATTCTATAAGAAACATTAAGGTGGTTAGAATTTTTAGTAATATGAATTGCCTCAATTTCTGGTTCTGAATATTGTTGATAAAACAAATGCAGTAGCAGTAAAATGCTCTTTTTTTCCTCTCAGAATTGGTGGCAGGGGTATTTGGAATTATTTCCTTGTTGCACTGAGAATTCAGGAAGTCCTGCCATCTAATGGGTAGGACTGTTGTAATAGGCCTTGATCCTAAGAACAGCTAACAGCATCCATACCCCTGATAACCTATTAATATTCCACAAAGTAGCTGGGTTTTCTTCATAGCAAAGGAACTTTATGATGCATGGCAACTCTACGTACAGCACACTAAAGATTGTGGCACAGATCCCTGGAACAAAGAACAAATATTTTCAAGAAAATAAGATTGAAATATTTGAGAATAATGAAATTAATTGTATAGGAACATACACTGAGTTGTGCATATAAAGGTCAGTTGTTTCTAAACTAACTACACAGGTAAATGGATTCATCCATAGGAATATAGTTGGTATTTGAAGTTTCTAAATTTAAAAATATTTTTATACTGAATTGGCCATGGACTAATATGAGGAATTTAAATGTCCTGCATGATAAAGGTTAATATTCTATTCTATACTTCACACCGTTTTGGATCTAGCAAATTTATTCCGCATTAGCTCTTACACTTCACAGTTCACAATTACAATTACTGCCATTGGCAGTATCACAATTACTTCCGCTGCACTCACCGACTTCACGATCCACACTGTGTCACTCCTAATCACACACCACTCAGGCGGCCTTTTATACCGTTCCCTGTCGCTCCATGTTAACATAGGTGTCCCTGTTACGTCACAGTGGGAAGTGCTGTTACATCACCGTGGGGGGGGGGGAGGNCAGGGGGGGGGGTTGTTTAGCGAGCGTTGCATAATAATGGAAGGAATGGAGGTATGTGGCGTCACTTGCAAGACCATAGAGTTCATGTGACCCCTACTTCCTGTTGGGCCATCCATGTCACAATACTTTATGACTTTTGGTTCACTTAAGTAGAAACTTCCACTGCTGTTCCCTCTCTTTTGTTGCCAAAGGCTAGATTATTAAAAACTGAAATTTTCTGACGGTCTTCTAACCACTTAGTGCTCAGCTAGATGAGAAGTTACAATGTCAGTGATTTTGATCTCATTCTTACCCAGTTTTGCTTTCATAATACAATACTTCTTCTCTTATTGCAGGTACTAGTTCCAGTGTGTCTTTTGACACAATTCCACAGGCTTCTCTGGAAGACATGATGGGAGGGCAAGTCACTGTTCTACCAAGTTATGATGAGACGGCACTATGTAGTGGAGCATTCAGGGTTCTTCGCTCCATGGTGAGCGCCTGGCTGCGGGATGTATCTCTGTATAAGAATGTATTTGCAGACTTCCAGATCCTTCATTTTTACAGGTTCTTAGCAATTTTTATATCTACTGATAACAGTCCTAATTATCAAGGTCAAATCATGCCATCCAAATAATACAGGATTCATGTTTAATATAATTATATTAATGGCATATTTTTGCAAAATGTTTTGGGGTTGCTGGTAACTCTGAGCAGAGTCTGCTGCTTTGGAAGAAACCTAAAATTACAATTGTAATTATGTTGAGTAAACATACATGTTCATAACAACAATAGAGTGCCTTTGTTACACATCAGCATAGCTAATTGTCGCACTCTGTTTGTTATGAGCTTGCATTTAAGAGACTGACATTCATACTTAAGGGTAGACTGGAAGATGGCAGATTTGAACACAATGAAAATGTTAAATAAAGAAAATATAATTCTGACTTAATTGAGCCAAATATATTGATACAATATTTCGCTTAGTGGGGGGTGGAGTCTAACTGGGTCCACTAGGCATGGTGGCCACTGATTGGCCTATTGTAGCCTGCCCTAGGTGATTATGATGATAGAGAATTTGGTGGAATGAAGATTGGCAGGGGAAAATGAAGTACTCGGAGAAAACCTGCCCCAACGCCACTTTGTCCGCCACAAATCCCACTTGACGAGGCTTGGGATCGAACCCGGGCTGCTGCAGTGGGAAGCCAGCGACTAACAATTTGAGTTATAGCATGGCCTTTGATACAATGTTAATGCCCTGGACTTGTATTTGGAAGGTTCTTGATTTGAATTTCGTCTGGGACACTAGCCATCTTGACGTTTTTTGTGGTTTTATTCAATACTGCCATACAAATGTTAGGGTGGTGTCTCTGTTAGGTCATGGCCGCTTCCTTCCAAATCCTTTCAAGCTCATTATTCATCAGTTATACCACCTGACACCATGTAATCTGAGATAATGGAAATGTTAAATAAACAACAAAAAGAAAAAAAACATAATTTTGTTGGAACCATACAAATTGAACATTAAGTAAGGAACAGCCTTAACTGAAGGGAGACTTCACTGTTGGTGATATCACTGCAAATGATAAAGCACTTAATCCAACGATATGTCTGTATTCATTAAAATAACATTAGTTAATGATAATTTCTGTTATAGGTGGTTAAGGTCATCCAGTGCCCTATTGTATGACCCGGCTCTCAGAAGAACTTTGCATAATCTGATGAAAAAATTGTTTATGCAGGTAGGTTAATTGACTTGTCTTGCAAATATTTTTATGTTGCTTAAATGAAAGTTTTGGGCCAGAAATATAAATCTCTATTAATTACTGCATTGTCATCTGTTGGAATTTTCAAGTAGTAGTACATCTTTCTGCATAAAGTTTTTGAATCTGAATGAATAGATATAAATGCCTCTTATGGACCTCTTCACCTACTTATACAGAGAAGTGGGAGCATGGATGAGAAATATTCTTCTGTTCAGAATGACAGTAATGACTAACAGAGGGACCTACACTTTAACACCGACTCAGAACCACATGATTCAGTTTTCTGCAAGTGCCCATTTTTGTTAGGTTATTAAGTGGGTTGGATTTAAAGGTGGATAATCCTTTACCAAATCCCCATTAGTTAGGTGTGGATTGTTAATGCTCCATTACTTACTGCTGACATGGGGAGAGCTTCTATTGGGTTCATGAACAATTGATCAGCGTCTGCTTTTAGATTACATGGACTGTGGCATTCATGTAATTGAAGTTCTATCTGGATAAGAAATTGGCATCTATCAAAACATTCCACATGATATTAGAACTACTGTGTTGTGCATTATAATATTGTGAAAGAATATGATAATAATGAGAAGAATATGAGGATAGACTGGAAGTTTATTTACATGAATTTATTTCAGACATGTCTTATTTTCAATTTGAACAGTCAGTGTGACAGTATAAACCCCGTAGGCAGATTCATATGGTAGGCAGTAGGTGGCAGCAGCTGCCTGTGTACAGCCACAGCAGTGAATTTCGAAGTGTTACTACTGCTTCTGAAGTGATCTTTCATGGTGGTCCAGTCATTGATTTTTCTTTTGCTTAGAAAAGGGCTCTGTGTGGCATGAATGCTATAATATTCCTGGGAGCCTGTTCCCGATGCTATGAGTTAATAGTTGATGTACAAGTGTCACAGATTCTCCACAGTCTATGTCAAACATAGAGATGAATGCACAGAATGTTGATGTGGTTATTAATTCTGGTTGTCTTTTGAAAGTGCAAGAACTCCACAGATCTGGGAATCTCATATGGCATCATCTTTGACATCCATGACATATTTCAGTATCATAAATTGTAAGCACAGTGGTTGCTGCAGTATCTGACAGACAAGCATAAACTGGAGCAACTCGAGTGCTGTTTCACAGTATTGACATGATATTCATTCATTCATTTCCTATATTTTCCATATATCTATACAGGCAAAAAACCTAAGATGTGGAAATAGTCCCTTCGATAATAGATGTATACATGTAATAAATTACATAAGTCACACAACTAAAATAATAACAATAATAATAATACTATGCTGTAATAATAATGCTAATAATAATATGCTGTACAGGGCACAGTACTCCTGAATAGGGGTGTTAGAGGTCATGGACTTCGGGTTAACCATTACATTCCAGAATCAAAGCGAGCACCAGTGGAGTGGAAGTGTTTGACATGCCCAACAATGAAGAAATTCAAGGCAGCATGAACTGTGAGCAAGGTCAGGCTCACCATCTTTTGGGGTAGTGAAAGACTACTCCTTATAGACTTCCTCAACTGTGGAACTACGGTCAACTGAGTTTGGTATGGTGCAACACTGGCAAAACTGAAACAGCAGATCTACACCCAGGTTTCCTGTCATGTGGTGTCATCGTGCTTTATGACAATGATTGTCCACAAATGTCTCACCAAACAGCAAACTGCTTACAGAAGTTGGTTGGGAGCCATTGCATCATCTACCCTAGAAGCCCAATCTGGTCCCAAGTGACTAACAGCTGTTTGAACCTCTGAAAAAAAATATCTTACTAGTCAACAATTCAAATCAGATTTTGAGGTCACTGAAACAAGAAGGGTATCATTCCAGGCACAAAGTGCACAGTTCTTCCAAGATGACATCTATAAAGTGTTGTACAAGTGGCATATATGTCTCAGTATATGGGCTATTAATCTTGAATGTGTAATATGCCGGTTTTATGTCTGTATGAGAAATAAAGTTATGAATGTAACTTTCTGATATGCCCTCGTATACTGAAGAGGATGATGTAATGGTTAAGGATTGAAAAATATGATGGCACTCGCCTCTTTTAGGTTAGTATTATTGGAAATGTTGAGTGAGACCAGTGCCAGCTTTATGTGTCACTTCACTAAGCTACAGCATAGGGCCTTGAAGTCAAAGGTGCCACCACATACCAAGAAGGAAAAGTGCCCATGAGACAACACAATATTCTCTTGTAGAACTTGGAAGATAACAAAGCCTGACTGCATCTTGACAAATCAGAATGGTGGCAGCAATGCACACAAGAACAACTGACAATCAAAAACAAATTGGGAGGCAGCTTCTAGTTGGTCGGTATAGTTCTCTTGCAGACTAAAACCACGGAGTTTGTTTTTTGTTTGGTTGTATCTGTGAAATATGTGTACTCCACCAAAATATATGTTTTAATTTCTTGTTTGTATGCAACTGATGTGGCTTGTGTGTTCACAGCTAGTTGCAGAATTCAAGAGGTTGGGGTCTGTCATCATTTATGCTAACTTTAACAAGATTATCATTTGCACTAAGAAGCGCACCATTGAGGATGCAATTGGCTATATTGAATTTGTGGTGCAGAGTATTCGAAACAAAGAACTGTTTCATGGTATTGACATCTCATACCAGCAGTGCTGGGAATATCTCATGTGGCTGGATCCCGTAAGTAGATACTTCTTAACATTTCTGATGTCCTTAAGCACAGTTTATTTGTCTCTGTGTATATAAATTTTCTGTTATGAATGTCTCCATGTCATACATGCATGACAGGCCCACATATGGATGCAGTTGAAATGTCAGCCCCTGTAAGAGGATGAAACAAGTTTAAATGCAGCAATGACATGACCATATAGTCATACACAACTCAGATGAAAATATTCACGACCATTAAAGTGGTATTTATTTCTTTAGATTAATGTGTAGAAGCAGGTGAGACTAGGGTAAACATTTACAGAAATGGAACTTTTTATTTTAATAAATTTACATGTGTTTTAGTTCTGATACACTTTCTGGAATTCACTGAGATTGTTAAAATCGTCAACATGAGGGACTGGACCATGTTGCCTCTTGTATCCAAACTAAATGTTCTTTGTTTTAGTGCATCTTTTTATTGGTCTTTCAACATTCCTGTTCCATAATTTGAAACTAACTTTCATTATTTTCTTCCATGTTTCCAATAATTATTTCTATAATCTAATATTGTTGTCTGTAATCCCAATAATCTGATAATTTCTAATATATTGTCGCGTATCGGGCGTATATCGCGACAAATAACTTCACGCTGTATTTTATATAGCGAATTTTATTTCACATTCGCACTTACAATTTCNTATTCATGCCGTTTTTTATACAGTGGAACCTCGCTTAACAAGCACCTTCATAATGAGTAATTCGCATAACAAGCAAAACAAATTGTAAAAAAATGACTCGCTTATCGAGTGACGAGAGGGGAAGTCCTGGATTGTGTGCTTGCTACATCAGTCTGTGTTTAGCACTCGTTCCACTAGCATCTTAGTGTCGCTTGTGATCACACATTTTTCCAAACCTGTGTTCAGACATATTATTTGTGATTTCTTTTTGTGCAAAGTTTAATAACCCTTGCAAAAATGTCCCCGAAGAAAAAGCCGCAAAAAGACAGCCATAAGAGAATACAAATAACCATAGAACTGAAACGTAAAATCATTGAAAA